AGCCAAAACTACGAGAATAGGTATTTCTCCACGAAGTTACACTATACTGATAGTCTTATACAGATGCGAACGTTTTTCAAGAGAGGTTCTCTCCACTTTGTACTTTCAAAAATTAATGACTTTTGCGTAGAGGCTTGTAAGTTTTCAGACCTGAAACAGGTAGTAGTGTCTTAACCTGAAGTGGGAGAAATTATAAGAACGGAACATGCTTAAAATTTACCAAAAAAAAAAAAAAAGGACTGTGATGAAAGGAACAAGACGAGAGAATTTACACTCCCTTCTTGTTTTCTACATCTGACAATATGATAGATTAGTTGGCTAAAGGGAAAGTAAAATTTAGCTTCTCTAGTTCAGGACCACATTCTTTAGCTTGATTGATTTATCTTGGCACTAATCCTACTAATCAGTATGAGAGACAGCCAACCAAATTCCAGCATTTAAAACCCTCCGCTGTTTTAGAAGAGACTGTTCTAAGCTAATAGAGCACAGTGTAAGACAAATGACAGGGGAAGAAGTATCCTCACTTCCCACGCACAGACAGATAAATTAATGTTGATTGGACACAGAATAAAAAAGAACAAGAATGGATTCCAAAGTTCAGACTTTATTTATAGAGTAGCATATCTCAGTATGCCTGAAAATATTTATTCTATCTTTGTGACGTGATGAGATTTTAAACAAGAATTCTCCAAAATTGTGTTGGAGATAACATTCCCCATTCCCTAATAACTCAATTCGGCATCCCATTGGAAAAGACTCTCCAAATCAAAAGTATAATTAATAGGAGTGGACTTCTCTGACATAGTGAACAGTTCAGGTTTTGCTGCTCGAACTTCAAGTGAGCAATGTCAACCTTTTCCTCTTTAAAAGAGCAGAATGAGGTAAGATTGAAATTGAAGCTGCACTAACTCACTATTCTAGGAAGTAAATCTAAATGGCAAGGTAGGCTCTTCAATCCAGGACACCTACTGGACTTGCGAGAGAGTTCTCAGACACTTAAACTAACACAAGAAGGTTGTGTTGAAGTGAAGATACAGGTCCTCGATTTTGGGTAGGTCATCTGGACAGCAGCAGCTGAGTCACTAAAATGACTCAATTTTTTCTGGTAATATCTTATCACACCTTCTAGCTAAAAAAAAAGTGGTATATTTGGGAATGTTAATCCAGGAATCTCCCAGCACTGTCAAGGTGGGTAAAGAAGTAAAAAGGGTTTAGGAAAAAAAGACAGGAAAAAGAAACGTAACAACAGAAAAAAGCCTGGCTGCACGTGTTGCCCAGGATCACACAGCATACTGGAATGGCAAATCTTCTACCTTGTTCTAGTCAAGTTCAGGTCAGTAAGGACCGAGTACCTCGGAACGGGTTCCGAGAGTTCTCCTTCTCCCACACGCAGAGGGCGCAGGGCAGGAGGTGACTCCCCGCTAGCGCCCAGCACGCCAGTGGCAAAGCTCAGGGGAGAGCTCCTCGCTCCTAGCGCTGCGCTCACTCCTCCCCACAACAGAAGCTCCAGTTGCGCACTGTGTACTGCGCTTCTGACGCCTCAAATCTTACCGGCTTCCCCTGACTACTGGAAAAGTGATGACATTGCAAAAACTGGCACACTTGGAGAAGAGCAGCATCTAGTCTTACAGATAAGATCATTTGTGCTTTTATGAAACAAAGCATGGGAATAGAACACAAATGGACTCTGTTACAGGGTGAGATGTGGAAAAAAAGCTGAACAACTGCGTCCGTTCAGAACAGGTCATTAAATAATGTTTCTCTAATAAAAAGCACCAGAATCTAACACTTTTCTTCTTTAGGAATTTAGGAAATGATAATAGACTTTCACCTTACCCACAAAAGCAGCCATCTGAGCTGCTGTCCTCCCCACAGAGTTGACAACATCAGTCTCTGCTCCAGCCTCTAACATCATCCACGTGATTTCTTTGTTTCCTGAATTTGGGGGGAAGAGATGGAGAATAAGAGAGAACAGAACAGAACTTGTAATTCTTTATGCTGCAGAAAAAAGAAAAACAAGGAATGAATTTCTTAAAGACCAGGAATAACACTGAGGGAAACGAATGTTCTTAATGTCATTATTTTAAGAACGTATTAAGAGAAAGGCACGGTGCTGCCTCCTTATTTACGGCTCCAGAGGGTCAAATAAAAGTGAAAACTAAACTCAGGCAAGGTATAACTCTGCTCTCTGTAAGTCACATTCAGCTCCCCATGGAGCTTATGGGAGTCATCTGCATCTAACTACACCAGAGCTTGGTCCCTCTGGATAGAAGTATAGAAGCAAATTCTACTGATCTAGTTTGACAGTTCAATTACAACATTTGCTATTCTAAGAAGAAAAACAAATCCAGCACTATTATGTAGCAGGAGCACAGAGAAGAGAACAGATTGTTCCTTTCTCCACAGTGGGAACTGGGTGTTCAGACTGGGCTAAATACCAAGTAAAAAGAAGCTAAAATTTGATGGGAAGACTAGATGACTTAATTGGTGCCCTTGGAGACTAATAAGGACATTTGTCACCACTTGCTGGTTCTGCTTTCAAAGGTATTCTTACTTTATCAGGTTTTTGTGCATGTGCTAAGTACAGAAAAGTGAATACAAAAAAAGAAGGGGGTGGTGGATGGAAATGAATGTTTCTGATTTAAAAACAAAGGCATTGCGTCAGTAGTGCTTGTGTACCTTTTGCACTCACAGATAAGAGACCTTAAAGTCAACATTCAGCAGCACTCAAACCCAGGATGACAGGTTAAAAGCTCAGCTGTGAGAAAATGGTAAAAATCCAGCGTTTTCCATAAAGCTGCAGTCATTTAACAACCTCTAAGAGTTTGTTCCCATCTACCTGCTGCAGCTCTGATATTGCTTAATGCCACAAAACGCTGAAATTTCCCAAATCTTTTTACCAAAGTTTTAAGAGAAAAGCCATTGGATGATCCAGTTAAAGTTCATATACGCACACAGGCCTTTCTTTTTTTATACTTACGATGAAAGAAGGCAGAGTTTACCTGCTAAGAAATCTTACTTCCCTAGAATCTCTTTTTTGGGAAGATGTAAGTGGACTAGTAAAGAAGTTACTTAAAATATCCTAATATTCCCAAATCTGATTTTCTCCCCAGAAGGAGTAATGTTTTTATGTAGTGTCTTTTTCTCACTCACGGAAATAATTGCTCCTTTCATCAGGGAAAAAAGAATAAAAAGAGGAAAGCTGCAAACCACCCCTCGAGACAGGAGAAGATGTATACAGCTGTAAGCACTCTCATTAAAAAAAAAAAAGAGTAAGAGGAGAGGGAAAATTAATGTGAGAAAACAGGTTTTAAAAACTTACAAAATGAATTTTTAAAAGCCTACAAGATAATTGCAAAAATAACGTAGGAGAAAGGCAAAATTCGAAAAATACTAGATTGATTTGACAAGTCTCAAATACTACTGAAAGCTACTGATCTGTAGTCCTAAAAAAGGCAGTTTGGTACAGCATATTTTTCAGTATAACACAGTATAATTAAACAGAATGTATCCCACTGCACAAGAAAACTGTCACAGAAGACTGAATTTTGAGATCTGTAACAAACAAGACAAAGTACAGATAGTCTATATGCCCCAAAATGCTGAACAAAGTAAGTTTTTATATGAAAAAAAGATCCCAAGCCTGAACAGTAGCTCTCCTAGTCCACTGTCCTGATGATTCTACTGGTCTTGACATTCACATGGTTCACATAAGTCACAATAAACCTGAATAATAAAAGCATGGCAATGTTTTCCTTTAGATTATTAATTTATGGTAAATTGTACCCGTCAATGTCATAAAAATCAGTGATCTAAGTTTAGGAAGAAGTTACCTGAAAGTCCAGCAAACATCAAGGCCGTATATCCATGCTCATGTTCATTGCAGTTAACATCAGCTCCATGTCGCAAGAGCAACCTGCACATCTCTACTTTCCCTTTGTACGCTGCATGCATTAGAGGGGTCATGCCATGCTAGCAAAAGAAAGAGGAAGGAAGTAGCATACGAAAAAGAATTAGTTATGTCTCTTGATCCTCATACCGTTGATAATTTTTACTTCTACATACATATTTAGTATAGCTACTAAAGCCTCACATAATATTTAAGCTAGCAAAAACAAGAAAGGTCACAAAATCTTCAAGAAAAAAAATGGTTACTAACATGCAGTACATTTTCCATTTCCCATGTCACCTTTCTGATTATGCTATGCTATGTATTTGAAAATAGATCAGCGCTGAATAAATGAAAACCATTTACCGTCGATTTGTCATTGGCCTTTTGTACAAGACATTAGCGTTAAAGACAACTAATGCTTCTGCTAGCGGGAGAAGCTTTGTTACCTTCCTAAGTTACTTCTTCCCCCCCTGCATTGTATGATAAGCAACAAGAAAATTAGGATTAGGCTCTTACTGTTTTTGCCATTACAAAGACTTGCAGTTCTTGAAACCCATCGTGCTCATTTCTAGCCATGATTACTGGTAATTGTGCCGTCCTCCTCCCTCCCATTTATCCATCCTTTTGGTATTGCATCTGTGATCCTACATCAGCCAGAGCTCTGAAAGCCACAGCTTGTAGACACACAGCTCTAACTAGACTGTAACAGCCACACAGTCTCAAACCTTGCCTTTTGACGAACTGCACCAGTATGAAAAGGATTAGCTGCAGCAAGGCAGGCAACAAGGTTTTATTAGAGTTGCACTGGTGCAATTATAAATGCAAACCTGGGGAAACCCTAGGGGAAATTTTCAGAACCAGGGAGAACTGTCAGTGCGGGCTCTGTCCCTCTCAGAGGGCAGCAAGAAGCACAGTTCTGCTTGAGAAAACTGCATGATATTCCATTTTTAGAATTTGATGTGCTTTTTCCAATGTGCTGTTTATTTTCACTTAACATCAAGTCAGGATTCATGTTATCAGCCAAGACATAGTAATTGCCCAAGAACATTCTCCAGCACTGAATACAAGCAAGTGTGCTTTAGCTTGTCCCTGAAGAAAAGCAAAATGGCATTTTCTTCCTTTTTTTGCAGGTTAAAGCTGTGTGCATGAATACACTTGAGCACACCATTACTGCAGCTGTGTAAATGCATGGTAATGTAATACTCTGAACTAATCTAATCATCAGTTTGAGCCTTAATTTATTTTTATGTCCATTTATGACAGAAGAAAAACTAATTGAGTTAAACGTATTAGTACAATTTTCAAAAAAATCCTAAAGGTAATGGAAATTGGGAAAGTTAAAATTATAATAACAATTTTAAGTATTATATTTTCATTATTCCTGATCCTAACTGAAAACAATAAAAAATGATTACTTGATCCATTGTGTTTCAGTAACCTGAAATATTTTGGTAAACTGCAATATAAATGCCGTTAAAGAAACAAAAGACCTGAAGAGATCACTTCATAAACATGAAATAAATTTGTGATTATTTTTGCTAGGTTTCATTTGTGGTCCTGTAAAGGTAAATAAAGACTTCCTGTTTTATTCTACTCTATTGTATTCTATTCTACTGAAAGCAATTTTTATGGGCCAGTCCCAGTCTGGAGTCATAGCATAGATTTAGCAGTGCAGAAAAGTACTGCTGTAAGGGGATATGAACACAGTAAGGCTTCTGACTGCAGAACGAACTCTAAGAAAACAACAACTTTAACTTTGGTTGTATCTTGAATGCCAGTTGTTTCAATTAAAAAAATCTGTCTGAAGATAATCAGACAAAGGAAAGGGTTGGTTCGCTCCTCCCAGCAAACTTTTTTTAAAAGCCTTTGATTAAATTTTGAAAGGCTCAAGCTGTGATCAAAAAAACGTATCAAGTAGAAAACGTGGACTGTGGTTAGAAAATCTGATTTTAAGTCACACTAATATCAACCTTGCACATTTACAGCAAACAAAAAAGGAACAGGCTAGACACAAGCTTATCTAGAAAAGCTTGGTATCCTGCATCACGCCCCCATGCAGAAACTGAAATGACTGCAAATACTCTTTCTCAGGCTTAGTATCAAGGACAGGTCCAGCAGTAGTCTGTTTTCTGACAGATGACATTTGCATTGTCAATACAACATACTTAAAAGACTAAACTATCAGATTATTAAGCATACAGATCAAACAAATTATTTATTGTTCCAGTATGGAACATAGGATGAAGAATCCATTTTCTAGGAGCTACTACTGTGTAACACTCTTCTGACCAAAAATCCAGTCTTTTAACTTCATCCTCTAGGACAAAAATGAATCAGTTTCTTGTTTAATTAGCAGGGATGTTAATGGTTTACACAGAGCAAAATTAACAACTCCTTTCTTCTGCAGGGCTGTAATTATTCCCTGTATGTCTGACTGTACAAGGGGAATCAAGTTTGCAGTGCCTCTAGAAATTGCTTGGCGCCTGCCTTGACCAGGTTCTTCAGCTCATCAACCAAGAAGGAGCGCCTGGCACAACAGGGCTATGCCTCGTGGCACAGCCAGCCCAGCCACTACACACCACCCTGCCCAGTTACCGATGCTGAAAATGTACCAGAAGCGGACTAAGGGATGGGACTGCAAGAGCTAAGTTGACCTAACGCTGCCATGATGGGGGAGCCAACTGAAGAAAAAAAAAACCAAAACACAAAACCCTACGGGGTCAGTGGGCTGAATTAGCTAACGAGGGAAAACAAGGATGTGTGGGGAGGCAGGAGGGGCAGATGAGTACCAGAACCAGGGAGGGGCTGGATTCCATCGCCAGAAGCGGGGGAAGAAGAAATCAGGTCGGTCTATCTCTCCAACACCTGGGAGAGGTGTGCTTCCACAGGATGAATAAAAGCAAATTTATAAAGATAATAAACTGGAAAGGCAACCTTCTGCCTTCTAGGAACTACCAAGGAAGTTTCCAACAACACTGTTTCTCAGCCTTTGTTGACCAGAGGAATTGGGGAGTGGGGGGTGGCCAGAGAACAAGAGTCAGGACAAACAAAAAACAGACCGGCCATCTCACGTCCCAAGGACCAGGCAGGAAAACTGACTGTCGTGTGAGCATTTGCTCACTCACGCTGACTGCGTAAGAACACAGACAGGAAACAGGTATACTTTGAAAAGCCACTGCTTTGTGGGTAACACCCTGATGATTCGCTACTGAAGTAGCCACATAGACTTGTGTTACTCCAGAGAAAAGAGGAATGCAAGTAGTCCCAACATTCCCAGTGTTTTACACTTCTCACGCTCACTGCACCCTTCCCAGCCATGCAAACTTGTCCAAGACATGGCACACGTGGGCTGGATCACACTGGAGCTGCTCCCTCAGCAGGTATGCAGGTACGCCATAGCACTGCATGTGGGAATACTAGCTACCTAACCAGAGATGAGGTCAGAGGTGATCTGGGTAAACAGAACCAGAAAAGAAGAGAAAAAAAAGAAAAAAAGAAGTCTGTAAAAACCCTAGCTGAAAAACTGTTGTAGACACTCGTATGCTGACACTGTTAAAGCATCCCTTTCCAGCTCATTCTGAAATGAGGAACCGGCCCCACATTAACATGGAATAAGTGCCTTACTTTATTCTTCCGATTCAGGCAACTATACCAGTTCTATTCAATCAGAAAATTACAAACTAGGCTGGAGGTTTGGCTTTTATTTTAGATGTTACTAAAAAGGAAACAAATGATGCAAAAAGAGCAGGCATCACAAGGAACACAGAAATACTAGCTGAGGAAATGTCTTCAACATCAACTCTCCTAAATGAAGAGCACTACTGACATCAGACCAACTCATTAAGATTGGTTCAGGCAGGTATTTGGAACTGGATTATAAAAATACCTCTCACTTTTAACAGAAATGGTACTGAATGCTGCTAGTCTAGAAACACATGAGTTGAATTTTCATCGGATGAAAGCCTTTGGAAATTTCACCCTTAAAGCTTTTGAATAAGACTGCCCTTGCCCATCTTAAACTTACCACAAGCTGGGTATGGAAGGTAGTCAACAGATACATGCATAACTAATTTTACCTGTAGCCAAGTATGAAGTAATTAGAATATGAAATACTGCTCAGTGAGTGTAAATATGTCAGTTAGAGCTATAGTTCTCCTCCTTTACAGCCATCCTGCTGAGCTGTTTGTTTCACATATGTCACACATTAGATTTCTCTGATCATCTTTCTGTTCATCTGCAGCGATGAAAAGTTAAAGCCTACATCAGTCAGCGACCTGAACTGAAACCAGATAATTCTTAATAGCTGTTGAATTTTCTTTGGTTTGTGTATTTTGAAATACTGTGTAAAAAACATCAAAAGACAGAACTCTTTCACCTCAATTAAGGCCAAGGATCTGGGCATTTTCTGCTAGCTTAGGAAGTTCATCCTGGAATAGTAAAACAGATTAAGTGAAGAACCCTCCGCTGAACATAATAAGTAAAGCTACACATACCTCACACACTAATAAGCAGGCTGCTGCTGTATTTCCTGGAAGGTATTCACTTCTGCAGTTAGAAGTGGACTGTTGTGAAAAGATGTATCTTATTACAGAGGTGAACAGCTGAATTACCAAACTAGAGGAAAAAAGTAATGCTGCTAATGCCAAATGATAGTTCTGTACATAAGAGTATTATAAACGACCTTAAAACTATTTTAAATACAGAAAAACTGTGAAGCCTTTTCAGGTCAAGCCTCTGCTTGATCTTCAGAAAACATGGGCTTGTAGTACTACAGTGGTCCTTTGCAACCTTAGCTACCAACACGACTGGAAGAAACTTCCAGGCTGGAAACCTCACACGGTTCCTCTAGACTGCTTTTCCGTAATAATCTGACGGATCGTAGCCACACCCTGCAAATGGATGGAGTTAAAGTCAGCAAACAGCCAACATCAAGTCACAACACTGTTTACAGGCTCTGTACTCCCAGGGGAAAGAAAATTCCTGAATGCTTTCTTCCATACTATGTTTCCAAATTAGCAACCACTCCATCTAAAATAGGACAAAAAATGACTAAGTAGTGTGCATTTAAATGAAAAACATTTGTGTTTATTTTGCATCCATTTTCATTGTCAATCTATTTGTCCCAATATTCTGGGACACCCGAGCTTAAATGCCCCTGAAATTTTAAAGCTGCCGCAGTAAAACTGTTAAAGACAAGTTTTGTGGAAGAGCTACATACTTCTTTGTTTTCACAAAGACAATGGTTAAGCCCAAATACCTTTCCTTTCTTCAACTACCTAAATCCACAAAGAAACAACAACAAAAAATTTGATTTTATCAGAAAAGATGCTGGGAAAACACAGGACTGTTATCTGCTGGATATCTACAACCTTCTGGAAGATGGGCATCTGTGCAACTACTTTGAATAACGGGGTCTTACTCTGCTTTCAAGTGACTTACTGCTCCCAGAAGAGCAGTGCAGATACGCAGAGGTGACGGGCAGGTGAGTCTAGGCACATGGGCAGGCAAAGCACAGAGATTAAGAGCAGCAGGTTTTTTAAATACATGTGACAAGAGCAGAAGCAATGCTGAAACACTGTATCCAGCTCATGCCTACATTTTTGAAGGAAGAAGCTGAAACTACTGGACAGCATTCATAAAGAGCCATGATTACAGCTCAATAATAAGAAACATAACTTTAGCCAAGGTACTTAAAAAGTCAGTGCATTTGGAAGATGTTAAAATGTGACTTGGTCCTTGTCTAAAGCTCCACAGAGAAAAGATTGCTGATTGTCAGCAGTTTTTAATCTAAAAGAAAGCAGATCTAAGCAGTTAGAATGTATGGTCAAAACAAAAATTAAAGGGACATCTTCTGTGTTTATTTTTTAAAAATCAAGAAGTACAGTATGTAACAGCCTACTTCTGGATGCTGTGGATTCTCCAGCCCGTGGAAATTATTAAACTGTGACTGCATGCTTGCTGTACCACAAACAGAAGAGAGAATTACATTAAACCTGTGCTCATTCTGTAGATTCTCTCATGTAAAACAAACTTCATGGAAGGAAATGAGTTCTTAGTTCTCAGCTGAATTGTGCTCCAATTGCAATATCTAAGCATTCAATTTTCAGGGCTGTTTCGTCATTTCTTAACATTAATAAGTAACAGTAGTAATATAAATAATAATGTGAATTTCAGGATAAACAGCTAAGGCAGCAGCAGAAGAAAATAAGACCTGATGCATTCAAAGCAGTCTCCAGTCACAACAACATTGAATAACAGATGAAGCTGATGTTTAACTGGGCTTTCACACACTCTATTTATGTATAGATATTAGAACAACACATTAGAGGGAAATTGGTTTATAACAGAAAATTCTAAAAGTTGATGCGAGAAGACTGATGGATTAAGAATCCTGAACAAATACGAACCCTTTCCTGTTCAATACGCACCATGACATACCACTCTTGGGGATAAAAAGGAGACTGAAAGAAGTCCACTACATGAACTTTTTAAGTCTTATGTGCCTTGGGTGTATTTAGTCAGATGTGAGCATTAGGCAAGCATTGTTCATACTATTTCTTCTTTAACAATAGCCTGGGCCATAACTCAGTTATGGTTTCTACGAATAAACCATATCCTCTCAGCAGTATTCCTGCATGTTGCACTAATACTGCATGAAGAGTTCAGTCGTTCAGCACTAGTTCAGCAATTACACTAAAAAAAAAGCTTTTGAAGTCCATACAGTAAAGCACAGTTGCAAACATACTTACACTGTATCTTGTGTTCCTGAAGTTTACTGTAAAATTTAGTTTGAGCAGTTTGTCAGAAACTTGTTGAAATTAATACATTAGAAGTCAAGGTTTAAATATTTAACGGTATTTAAGAACAATGAGAAAATGGATCTATGGATCCACATTGTAATGTGAATAACACCTACAATACCCTGTGCAATTTCGGGCCTTCCAGTTCAACAAAGACATGGATAAACTGCAGTGAGTGAGTGGAGTACCACCAAGACGTGGTGGGAACCCGAGCACTTGTGCAGTTAAGAGGCTGCAGGAACTGGGCTTGTTCAGCCTGCCAGTGCCTATAGGAACGTCATTGAAAAGACAGAGCCAAACTCTTCAGTTATGGTGGCAGGAGGGCAAGAGACAGGGAGTGCAGGGAGCGTAAGCTGAAACAGAGGTTCAGACATAAGGAGAAAAACTTATTCACCACAAACACAGTAAGGCAGTGGAACAAGTTGCCCAGAAATACTGTGCAGTCTCCATCCTTCACGGTTTACAAGGCCAGACAGGATGAAGCTCAGAGTAACCTCATCTGACCTCGGAGGTGAAGCTGCTTTGGCTGGGAGGCTGAACCAAGACCTTCTGAGGCCCCTTCTAGCCTGAATTTCCCAGTGATCATATGAAACTATAAAGTTGGGGAAAAACACAATTTGACATTTAAATTGCTAAACTACACATTGATCTAACATTCAAGCTGGCCAGTTACAGCTTTGCTTCCATGTTACACTTATATTACTGTTGCACGCTTTTGAAAAACTTTGTAAAAAGAAGAGGAAACAGATACGAATATCTCACAAGGTTCCTTTCTCCAGAAACTTCCTCCCATCTTCAGGCAGCACTTATGGATTTTACCTTCTACATGTCCATCACATCTGCCCCTGCAAAAGACCTAGCTGCTCTCCGAGTATGTTTATGGTTCTGCAAAGATAAGGCTTTGGGTGATGAGATGCAAGCGTGAGATGGGGATAGGCATTCTTTATCCACACTGCCTGCTGCTATCTAAGCAGAGGGACTACAGTCTGGTGGAGGTGACAAGAAGTCAAGGAGCACCCCCATGTGTCTTGCTGCAGTGTTCATCTTATCTCACCAACACCAAAGTTCATGCCGGAACTTGAGAGAAAATACAAACCGTGTAGTTAAGTCACATTAATCTTTAAACTTTCTTAACAAAAAAGTAAGAGCTCTTCAAAGGTTCATCATTCAGATGCAGGCTAGAAATATCTTCAGAATAATTCTGATTTCAGAGTCTGTACAGCAATATTATTTAATAACAAGAAGGCCTTCAGACCTAGTATTTTCCTTGCTAAACCCAGCATAATGCTTGTACAGTTTCGCTATACCTCATCCAAGCAATTGACACGGACATTCTTGCTGCCCAGTAGCCTTCCAGCCTCCTCGGTGTTTCCTTTAATTAAAAAAAAAAAAAAGGACATAAAGAGAGAGAAAGGGCGGTGAGAAAGGGAATAAATTGAGAATCGAGAGGAAAAACATCAGTTCCATTTGTGAACAGAATCAAAATTTTTGTAGACTAACCACTTGGTATGTAGATTAACCACCAATAACTCAATCACACTTAGTGAAAAGGCTTAGGAATGAACAGCGTTTTGTTCTAGAAGCTAAAAGCCAAGATGTCACAACATCACAGAATAGTCTGAGAGCATGCACTAGAAGTAAACATCCATTTTTTGTGACATAACTGATCTATACACACACACAAGAACAGGACGCTATTATGTCTCTTCACAAACTGCACCAGAACAATTCTGAATGACTAAAATGATACTAAGCATTTTAACACATTCTGTACTTTGACCTCTTTTGGAGCATCTTACATCTAAAAGAGCTATCTAAATTCTCACAGAAGGGAATTATCCCATTTAATGACTTCTCTGGTCTGAATGAAACACACTTTGTAATTTACTCACATCTCCTTTCCTGTTTGCATTTGAAATTCGCAACATTCCACCTCCCAGGTCCACAAAAGTTAAAGGAATTTACTTTTGGTAATAAAGAATAGAGGTGGAAAGGACAAGGACCAACGTAGCTTCATCACTGGCATTTCTAAAAATTGCCAAATGCATAAGTAGACTGAAGTCTCAAAAAAACTGTGCAAGAAAATACAGGCCATAGCTTTGTATTTTTCAGTTTGCTACAAGAATCCTTTCAGTTACGCCACAGATCCAACAACCTGATTTAAAGTCCTTTGAAGGCCTATTCAGTAACATCAATGCAACTTCAACAGACATTCAAACAAATAGAAATAAAAGAACATTCAAAGAGTCTATGTCTAGGGAATTAAATTTATTGCAAATTAACAGACACTTCTGATCACTGATTCAATCAAAGCAGAGCTCTTTCAGCAATGATGTGCTTAACAAAAACAAGCATTACATCCCTCATGTTAATGACAGGCTTCACGTTTATCTTCACTATATCACAAGGAGGTGCTCTTACAGCAAATTTTCAGCAAAGCAGCTCTCACAGCTTCAGTTTTGGCTCATTTTCTTTCAAAAAGACATTACAAATAGTAGAAATAATTTACTTTCATAAAGCTTTTGGTGTGTTTTAACTATACTAAACAGGTATACCCATTTAAAAAAAAAACAACAAAAAAACAGTTACTTTAGGGAAAAGCGCCAGTCACCTGAGTCATCTCACACAGTTGATAAAGACCCAGTAAAATACACAAACTGACAGCCAGGCCACTGTCAACCAGCCTACTCCCCCAAATATATGTGTATATTTTTATAAACACATGAGAAACTTCTTAGGACCCGGAGTAGTTTTCAGAAAAACATCTCAGCGAAAGAACAAACATCAGAAGCAGCGAGCCTTCAAGGGGTGATCTTCAAAGTAAATTTAAATGCAAGTAAAGCAAAGCAAAGTTGCACTTACGAGTTCAGGTTCTGTATGACAAAACACTGAAGGATTTCCAAACAAGAGACTACACTGACGGAAGTCAGGCTTCTAGAATTGGCTAGAGCTTGAAGTTGGAGGCAGGCTGTTCACAGTGGTGAGTGGTAGGAGGCCAAAAGGCAACAGCAGAAGTTGAAAGCAAAAGAAGCATCAAGCTGGATATAAGGAAGAACATTTTCACTGTGAGCGAAGGCAGCTGGCAGTGAAGGCACTATGCAAGGCAGCAGAACAGGTTGCCCCGAGACACTGTGCAGTCTTCACTCTCAGAGGTTTTCAAGGCCTGATAGGATGAAGCCCTAAGCAATCTCGTTTGACCTCACAACTGAACTGTTTTGAGCAGAAGGTTGTCCTAGAGACCTCCTGAGGTCCCTTCCAACCTGAATTATCCCATGACTCTAATCACAAGCATCAGCTAAGTTAGACAGGACTGTCTGCAAGATGTAGGCCTGAAACTCTGATTAAAGTGAGTCAATCAAACAGATTCTGATCCACCACAAATTCACTGGTGAGTGTCCTATGCTTGTGTCTCTGACACACAGGAACATTTTAATATAGTTGAAAGTGACGCCCCAAAACTATAAATAAAATTTCTTATGGGTTCTTATGGGTTTCTTATGGGTTTCTTATGGGTTCGAAGCAAACTGCTTCGAAGCTACATATAGAAATGCATGGAGCACATCAAGTGTTTTTAGTTTACCTCCAACTAACAAACATCACCCACAATTTTCAAAATACCTTTTGGAGTATAACTATTTAGACAGGGCTATGAAATCCATGCTGCTAGACCATGAAACCCAACTGTTACAGCAAGGGTGACAGCCCCCCAGCAATAAGCATGTCTGCCACACAACGTGGCGAAACTGCAGCGTTCACACAAAACAAACCAGTCTAAGGGATAACAGGTCCACAATACCCTGGAGAAGCTCAAGTTCTGTTAATTTAAGAACACACCTTGTCTGCAACGACAACCTGGTCTGGCAACAGCACACAGGGAAACCCACAACCGGCCACAGAACCGGGTTATCCCCAAGGAAATAAGTTTTTGCAGAGCACATTAATACAAGTCATCAGAGAAATGTCAACACCCGTTACTAACACGAACACACGTAAGAGAGATGTAAGATTTCCTCGGCAGAGTTAGACACTCACAGCTTTCCTGCCCCGAACCGCACAGCACCGCGCATCCCTCCGGGCCCGCCAGAGCCCCC